AAAAAAAAAAAAAAAAAAAATCTTTAAAGTACAGGACAAAAAAGTATATGAGAATCTGGTGTTTTCTTTAATATAACTCTCATACTAGACTAAGCTGCAAATGAAATCAAGGATTTACTTAGAAACAAAGCATAAATACAGCATAAAATATCAAGTTTTTCTCATTCTATTGGATGTTTTAATTCTATAATCCTTAGATGATGGGTTTGTCCACTGATGTTCATACTCATTCAGAGTTTTTAGCTTTAAGGATTATTCTTTTTAGAATAAATGAAGATTCTTCACAAACAGGTTTATGAAAAGGCTGGAGAAGATATTTAGGTAATTACAGAATAAATTAATCTGTATTGTTTTAGTAACAAAAAAGAAAAAAACAGCATTTAATAAATCAGGCCCATACTGAATTTGTTTTGTACTACAGCTTTTTAACAACTGTTTCCACGCCGATGAAGTAAACAACTTAGACGAAATATTAGTCCCAAGGCTCCAAATCAGCAAACAGCCACAGGAGGCATGATGTTGATAGTTCAAGTAAGTGGTCACAATTATTTCTTTTAGAGTTTCTGGGATTACTTTATCCTACACAGGTAAAATATTTAAAAGTTTACATTATCATGCTGATCCACTATACACTTTTAAATACTACAAGGTGGAAATGACATGATTCAAGGACAAGCTATAAGAACAAAAAGGAACACAAACCTCAAGGGCAATTTGTCTTAAGTAAGGCTCACAGCTGTAGAGGAATCAATGGGAGGTTCACCTTCCTAAAGAGAGAGGTCTTTACCTGGCATTACTGTTATCCGTTCACAAAATACATCATTTTGAGAATATGCTGGACATCCCAAATAATAAGGAAATTAACATTTTCTTTTTTCTTACAAATTAACTAATCTCCAAATCCTAAAATTCTAAAAACGTGAAGTGCTTGGGGGAAACTGCAGGTACATCTTCCTAGAGGAAAGGAAACTGATGTATATTTTATGAACTCTATGGAGACAAAAACGAAAATTAAAAAAAAAAAAAAAAGCAAAGAACACAATACTAAACAACAACAAAAACCCACCTAGTTTTTCAGGACACCAAAATGTACAAGTATATCATAATTTAAAATAAAATGTACTTGGCTAACATTGAACACAGAAATAGAAAAATAGCATTGTGCTCATATGCCAATTTTATGGGTGATATTCTTTTTCTTTAATTTCTCACATGTGTTATATTGTTTTGCATTAAAAAACTTTAGCTTTTAGCATGCATACTTATAAGTGCTTAATTTTCAAAGATTGTTTTTATTAATAAATATTCATTATCAGTTCCATTAACAATTTCTGTTACAAAATTTAGTACAGTCAATGGTTACATTTTAAAAAGATAAATAAAGCATAACATTTCAGTTAAATAAATATCTCAGTATCTTTGATGAAATTAGAAAGGCTTGTAGACAGAGTATGCATATGCTTTTTGAAAATCATAATATTCCCTTGAAAGCATGGGCAAACATGGCCAAATGCCTCTCTTGCCAAGTTTAGAAATATCTTAGTTGGGTTGGGAGACAAATTGCTTAATATGTATTGCAATATTTATTTTTTTAAAAAAT